ATTCGATCAGCCCTGTAAGTTCAACGGCTCGTGCCGATTAATACCAACCCCTAACGATAAGCTATAACTACGATGACTAAATAACAATTTTAGGTGATCTGAGGGAGTAATTCATAACAACAAAGATTTAAGGGACTAATACAGAAAAGAGTGAAATATCAGAAACGCAAGGGGTTAGAACGAAAAAAAACCAAAACCGACCCGAATTTCGAAATTTTCTCTTCCCTCCACCTCTCTCTCTCTCATCCCCCAAATTCGCAGAGAGGAGCGAGCTCGAGCTCGAAGCCCTAGCCGAGATCTCGCCATGGCCGACCTCAACGAAGACGACGACAACGAATCCCTCTCTCAAATCCTCGCCGAGCTCGAATCCCTCTCCCTCTCCTCAAACCCTAACCCTAACTCCCCTCCTCCTCCTCCTCTCACCGAGCCCGCTCTCCGCTCTCTCCTCTCCCTCTCCTCCTCCGGCGACGCCGTCAGCCTCCTCTTCCTCCGCCTCGGCGAGCTCAACCTCCAGATCTCCTGCCTTCTCTCTCCTCTCTCGTCGTCGATGGACTCCTCTTCGTCTTCCCTCTCTCTCCTCGCCTCGAGAGCTTACCTCTCCCTCCTCCTCTCTCCATCGGCTCCGTTATTCTCTCTCTTCACTCCGCTAGCGTTTCTCTCTCTCCTCAGTTCGGTTCGCCGGTTCTCTCTCCTCGCCTCGAGAGCTTACCTCTCCCTCCTCCTCTCTCCATCGGCTCCGTTATTCTCTCTCTTCACTCCGCTAGCGTTTCTCTCTCTCCTCAGTTCGGTTCGCCGGTCGATGAAATCTCAGCCGCAGGCGGCTGCTACGCCGCCAGTTTCAAACCCTAAGGGGCACCCAAAGGGTCGGCGGAAGAGGAAAGAATTGGATCGAGATGATTGGAGATTTGAGAGAGGAGGGGCGAATCTGGTTGAATCGGTGCTTGAGCTTCTTGAATTGGCTCTTGGAAAGGTTCCGCTTGATGCGGCTCATGATGCTCGGAAATCTTTGGTGGAAACCATTGTTAGTGTTCTTGAGTTATCAGGTAATTTTTGCAGAAATCCTCAAGTTTATCGATGAAATATTTGGTTGAAATTATGTCAGGAATATTAAATGTGTTTATGAGTATCCAAAAGTTTAGGCTTTAACAAATGTTTCATTTTTTTTAAACAACTATTTGTAATATTTGTAGTTTTTCCTTAGGCTATGTTTGGATTAGGGGCTTGTTTAATCCTGGGAGTAATTTAACTCACTATAGTCCCGGGATATAATAATCCTGGAGACTATAATGTGTTAAATTTTTAGTAATTTGTTTGGTTCTGTTTGTTATTAACATCCTTAATGACTTTGTCATGTTTCGAATCTTTTCATTGTAAAATGGTATAGGATTAAAACATAACACCAAATGTTCATAATGCCATTCTGCGTATTAGCCATTATTTTAGCTAAAAAGTGGGTCATTTTTGGCAGAATTTCATGCATTTTGACACTGCCCAATGCAAAACGACGTAGTTGAACAATACCTAAACCCAGTACACATTAAAACAACAGATAAAAATGGAGTAATATGTCAGTAATTAGATAGTAATAAGCAAATGATTCACCAAGCATATGCATTGACAGTTCATAGACATGAAATTCAATGAGTCTTAATAAGCATACAAAATCAGTCACATGATACAAGCATTTCATAGTATAGACTTGAAATTAAATGAGTTTTAATAAGCATACAAAATCAACCGTCCAATAAATGCCAAATAAGATAAGCACACTACATATCATAGTGGGTGTGAAAAAAAGCGGTGAAGAGGAAAAAACACATGAGGTGGTGAAAAAGGCTCTCTGAAGGAAATTAAAGGCAATGAAAAGAAGGAAGAACCAATCCGTGCGAATAAACAGAAAAGATAAAAAGAAGCGAACTAGGTGGGGAGGGAGGGAGGGAGGAAACCCTAGATAATTTTTAGGAAATTTTAGGGGGGCAAGAGAGTTGTTTTGCATCTAATCCCAAGGGAAAATAATCCCGGGACTATAATAACACCCCCTTCCACCATTATTTAGTCTATAATCTCTGGATTATTTCATTCTAATAGACTAATTAGTCCAACTTAATCCCTCTCCGAAATTTCAAACCAAACATCCCACTATTTGATTTTAAAGGATAAAGGGTTATTAATTTAAAATAATAGCCTATCCAAGCATAGCCTAAGAACTAATAGAAGTGCACACTCTTATTATTAGAACTCCTTGTACCATCCTCTTTCTCATGCTTCTTTTATATGCACTATAATTGTTTTTTTTTTCCTTTTTCGCTTGAAACCTCTACTCTCAAAGAGTCAGGTTATTTGTAACAACTCTCGAATTCATGCTGAGTTACTTAATTACTTCAGTTATAGACCTTTTATAAGAAATCGATCATTTGAAATTTAGTTATGATTTGCATCATATATCGGTACACACTGGTAATTATGTTTTCTTTGCGCTATTCGATGTAAATTATGTGATGTGTGGTTACTATTTGTTTTCGCATGGTCCTTTCTGTGGATATTATTTACTCTTTTATGGGAATGCTTTCCCTATCTGTGTAGAACTCTCTGAACATTTATTGTGTTCCTTCAGGCAGTAATCGGATTTCTGATCTGTGTTTTAAGATTCTCTACGGAGTAGTATCAAGGCCTGAGCATGGTGATCAGGTGAACTCTGCTGTTGAGGTGCTGAAAAATTTGACACCTTTGATTCTCTTACAGGTGAAATCACCTTTAAGGACTTCAGTTTTAGGATTTGTTACTGGAAAAATTGTGCCATTGGGTAGGGAGAATGAGAAGGTGAGAAAAGCTTTGGTTTATATGCCGAGATTTCTTGCGTGTAAGGCACCAGAAAAATCAGAGCCCAGGGCAGCAGCAATCGAGTCGATACTGGAGATAGTGAAGGTGATGGAAGAGGAGGATCAAATTGGGTTTGTGGATTATGTAGTGAAAATGAATGAAGGGAAGACAAATCTCAGATTACTGGCTGTTGACTTAATCTTAGGGTTTTTCACTTCATTTGCTGATCTTTTCAGACTGACGGATATGGAACAAGAGAGTGAAGAGTGTCCAGCGCTGAAGTGTTTGAAAGCATTGATACATCGCTGCGATGATTCAATGGGAGGAATTAGAGCTAGAGCTTTGACAAATCTGGCACATGCCATTGATATTTTATTGAGGGATGCAAACAATTGTGAAGAGCTTCAAGATGTTGTATCTGCAGGACATCTTGGATTCAAGAAGCTTTTGAGGGAGAGATGTGGGGATGAGAAGGCTGCTGTGAGGAAAGGAGCACTTCTTCTGATTACAAAGTCGATCTCTCTTATTGGTAGGCCTATTGATCAGGTGATCCTCAGGACGATGGCTGCCGCTTGCTCTGATTCTCTTGTGAGCATCCGGAAAGCTGCTCTCATGGCTCTCTCGGAGGTAAGTCTTTTCCACTGTCTATTGTTCTGGAAAACAGTTAAACCACTGTTTTCCTCAAGAAACTAGATTGTCTGGTCTTTAATCTATCTTGGACATGAAATAACAGCAAGTGTTTCATGAGAGGTGAAAAGGAGTTGTATTTATTGTATATCATGTGTTAGAAGAATCCGAATCCTCTTTTCCATTTGAGTCCCCTAACTTGTATTTCTCAGTCGTTGTTTAGTAAAACCATGTGGTAGTTTTAGTAAGCTTCATCTTCGTCCATGCAGTTTGATAGTTCTTTAGAAAAGTTTATACAGATCTAGGTTGCCTTCGCTTTATTACTGGCAATTCAACCCCACCATCCACCTCATGCACAACATTTTGGAGAAACTGCAAATTTTTTTGATTAAAAGTGGAGTACAAAAGGGGGAGATACCAGAATGAGCAAATAATACACTGCCTCTCACAAAAACTGAAACATCTCCAAGGATAGTAGTAACCCTCCACCATGAAATAAAACAAAATACATTATAAAAAAGCTCTGTGGCTAGTTATTATACAATACATGTAAATGATAATAACAACTAAAGGCTACACCACATGTCAGGCGAAACTATTGAATGTATTGTGCATACTTGAATGCTAGTCAGAAAAGAAACCATTGACATTATCAATCTCATCTTCATTTCCGCTGCAATCTCGTGCATCCTGTTGCTCTGGCAATTGCGAAGAGGGGCCCACGTTGCTGCTAAGTATTTGTTGCCTTCAGCTCTCTGCAACGTGGCCTTGAGCCTTGCGCTTGATAGCATCATGATTGATGAATCATATTGCCAACTGCCTTCCTTGTGTTGTTCCTTCTTGCTGCCAGCTCCAAAGGTGATTCATCCTCCTCAAATGTCTCACTTTGATGTATTTCCTGCTTACCTGGTAGCTTAGTTACTTTTCCACTTATTTTCCTTCACCTTGTTTACCTTTCTTCATAATACAATAGATACAGTAGATCTCGGGGTAGGATCACTCAATCCAACAACACCCTGCATGTTGCTCTCGTTGTTTATTCGGTGCAGAAGTCATGACCGTGTTAGATCTCACTGTTACTTGGTTCTTTGTGGTTGTCTTCTAGGTCTACAGAAGATTTCCTGATGATAGAGTTATTAGTGAATGGCTTCATGCTGTACCTCCATTAATTGCAGACAATGAAACAAGCATACAGGATGAATGTGAGAGCTTGTTCCTTGAGTTGGTATTGGATAGGATATGTGAAGCATCGAAAGTGAGCTTGAGTACTGATACAGTGGATTTGGATTCGGTTTTCCCTGAAGGGATATTATACTTGTTGAAAGAGATATGTGATGGGGAGGTTGCACCTTGTGTAAAGAAGATATGTGCTAACCTTGGAAAGAAGAAGAAGCTGAAGGCCTCTATTGTAGTTTCTCTTCAAAACATCATATCGACTTCAGAAACCTTGTGGTTGAGAAGTTCCATGCCTATAGAGAAGTGGGTAGCTCCTCCGGGTGCTTGGCAGCTTCTTTCTGAAGTCTCATTGTTCACACCCAAGTCAGTTGACTGGAAGTTCCTTCATCACCATTGGAAACTCCTTGACCAGGCCAACCCAGAAGAGATAAAGGAAGACTTTGATGGACAAGAAGCCGACTCATTTTCATGGGCAGGTGATCGTGTTTTTCTCCTGCAAACAATTGCCAATGTATCTGTCGAGTTACCTCCTGTGCCTGCTTCAGAATTAGCAACTAACTTGCTGTCACGAGTGGAAAATTTTAATATGAACTTAAATGAGGTAATGTTTTGATGATTTTGCACCTGCCATGTTTTGCATAAGTTTCTTCTCTATTATCTGTTTTTAGTCGTACTTAGAAAACTGCATATGTGTATGGATAGTGATGAACAGAAATTTTGTTGAGATTAGATGTTTACAGAGGTTACTTCTTATTGAAAGACCTAGCAATTTAGACATGGTTTGCATACAAAAAGATTTGGTTCGTCAACTGTACCAGCACAAAATATGTGGGCTGGTCATCTTAATGTTATTCCTCGGTAGTCATTTCTTTTGTTCTCTTTGTGTTCTAACAGGTTGATGCTCATGTGAAGGCTCTCAAAATTCTATGCAAACGCAAGGCTGTCTCTTCTGAGGAGGGACATACTCTTGTGCTGACATGGGTGAATCAGTTGCTCACTAAAGCTTTTAAGATTCTTGACAAGTATGTAACAGATATACCGGAATCTGTCAAAGCCAGTACTTTTTTAACACCTCCAAGTGGAAGGAGAAAGGGGAAGAAAGAGGCTTCAGCATCAAAGTCCATGCTAAAAGCTGTTACTGCTGTCTTCACTATTGGGTCTCTGATTCTGATATGTCCATCCGCTGATTTGCAGGGTATAACTCCCTTGTTACACACAATTATAACGTCTGGAAATTCTGAACTGAAACCCAAACAGCTTGCGGACTTTAAGGTTTCAGTAAAAGAGATCTCCCCTTCCTTATATATTCAATCTTGGGTCACAATGGGAAAAGTCTGTCTTATAGATGATAAACTAGCAAAGCGTTACATTCCTCTGTTTGTGCAGGTATGGATTCTAGAATGCGGTAACTTACATCCTCCGTCTGGTTCTCATTAAACTTATTGCTGCTTAATGGTCCTTCAGGAACTTGAGAAGAGTGATTGTGCAGCCCTACGGAATAACATCATGGTCATGATGGCAGATTTCTGCGTTCGCTACACAGCTTTAGTTGATTGGTATGCTCTTGCTACTGGGACCCTTCGCTACTGGGACACTTGAGAGCTTTCTTGCTACTATTACAAAATAATTACAACCATCTTCTCCATTGTCATCTCATCCTCTCCGTACAATTAATAGGTCATTTTATGGAATGGAGGCTGATAAGTTTTCAACTAATTTATGACCGCAAGGATTTTGAGTATCTTTACCAATTCCAAGACCTATCCTATGAAAACAGAATCAGCTTTAACCAAATATGAGTACCATATGGACCTGAATCAGACAAAATTTCATTTACTTAACAAAGCCCATCGCCATGCATCCACCACACTGCTTGTTTCTTACAATAACTGTTATGTAAGTCTTTGTCATGTTGAAATGGTATTGTGTTTATATAACATGTGACATACACATGAAGTAATGACTTTCCTGTTTGCACATTTTTCAGCATGGTCATATGCGTTGATCTACTGTCTGTCTAGTGTCACACTCTAATTTCTCAGATCAACAAATGTATGTACGAGAAACCCTCCAATCATATATCAATGAGCATCAGCACCCTATGCTAATACTATAACTTGTATTCTTGAATGTGACTCATTTAAACAATTCCAATGTGATTTTAGTCGTACAGACCCTCAATGAGAAATGAGCACATCCGTAATAAGTTAGAGGTTGTACTCATCGAGGAAAATTGAGAGAGAATCAACTAAAGTGGTTTGGACATGTGCAATGGTGACCTTTCAGTGCACCAGTTAGGGAAAATGATAATATTATAGTTAATGAGGCAAAGAGATCTAGAGGTAGATCTAAGAGAACTTGGTTGGAAACAATCAAGAAGGATATGGTAATGGTCAACTAAATGGAGGAGATGCCCAGAATAAAATGGAATGGAAGAATAGGATTCATGTAGCGAAGCGCAAACATTTGAGATAATGGCTTTCTTGTTGCTAATTTGTTGTAGACCTTCAATATTGTTTTAAATTTTGGGGCTTTGAAGCAAATTTGACACGCCGGTCAATTGCAAAATGCAAACCCTACAAAGAGTTTGCATTATAATAATAAAGATAATTCCTAAACTTTTTAATTCTTTGCCACTAATGACTAATGTTTTGGCTTTTAACTGAGATCAGTCTGTTATTCGAAATGCCAGTTATATATCAAGAATAACCATTGCATTACGTGATCCCTGTGAAGTTGTAAGAAGGCAGACATTCGTCCTACTTTCGAGACTATTACAGGTGTGTTCCTCCCTTAACTTTCACAATCTATGGGTCGGGGTTTCTATTATTGTCAATTGTGTTCAGTCATCAGGTATCTTAGCATTTAGTTATCATCCAGAGAGACTACGTGAAGTGGAGAGGTGTACTTTTTCTTCGATTTCTCTTATCTTTGGTCGATGAATGTGAAAATATTAGGCATCTGGCTGATTTCCTCTTTGGGAGCATTCTAAAAGGTGAGTTCTTTTTGCTGTTATATTTCTAAAAATTCCTCTATATATCAGATCGTATCCAGTTGTTGATGGATCTATATGGCAGTCAAGGCACCTCTTCTTGCATACAACAGTTTCATAGAAGCCATTTTTGTTCTGAATGATTGCAATGCCCATTCTGGACAAAGTGAGACTCAAGGAAGTTTGCCAAATGGGGCTCGGCGTTTCTCAATAAGGTATTCCTCAGCATAGATTTTTATCCACGGGACATTGTGTATTCCAGACCCAGTCTCACTATGTTACTGTTCTGGGTGCAGAGGCAATGATGAGAAATCAAGAAGCCAACGAATGCATATCTATGTTTCTCTATTAAAGCAAATGGCACCGGAGCATCTTCTGGCTACTTCAGCTAAGTTATGTGCAGAGGTTTTAGCAGCTGCTTCTGATGGGTTGCTTAGCATTGACGATGCTGCTGGGCAGTCTGTATTGAAGGTACGCTCACTGTTAGGGCTTCTAAATTCTAACTTTGTGCAGTTAAATATAAGCTAAGATACAAACAGTTCATTTAACTGTCACATAGTTAATTTGACAGTATGTACTTCGTATAATTTTATAAGCGCCATCACTGACATACCTTCAGATGCAAAACTCTAGTAACTTATGAGATGACTCTTAACATGCTAACTTTTTGCTGAAAGCGAAAGTACTACTAATTCTTGGTTCTCAAATGTTACATTAGGATTTTAGATGTGTGAAGCATTTGAGTGAAAGCCATAGAAGGTTTGACAATAGTGTACTGCAATCAAGTTTGCTATAGACTAGTTCTGTAAAGTTTTATTAGAACTTACATGCAGTTATAACCAGGGTTGAGAGTTATGTATCCTAACTTGATCAATCTAATACCATGCTAAAGAGTAATTTGATGCTTTGCTGCAATTTATTTGATACCATGTAAAAGACCCTATCCAATACATCAAAACTTCGAAGTTATAACCAGGGTTGAGAGTTATATTGCTTTTGGTTCTCTATAATAGGACGCCCTGCAAATTCTATCTTGCAAAGAGATGAAAATCCACCAGTCCCGAACCAGTGACTCCCACGAGATGGACGACGAACCCGGAGACAGCACCGGAGCTCTTCAAGCCGCAAGAGGCAGAGTAGTCACCCACGTCGCCAAGAAAAACCTAATCCAAAACGCCGTCCCAATATTCATCGAACTAAAACGCTTACTCGAGAGCAAGAACAGCCCTCTCATCGGCAGCCTCATGGACTGCCTCCGCTCCCTCCTCAAAGACTACAAGAACGAGTTCGAAGAAATACTCGTCGCTGATAAGCAACTCCAAAAGGAGCTTATGTATGATATGAAGAAATATGAGAATGCTAAAGCCAAGTCTACATACGACAAAGTTATTGCCTCTGCTCATAAATCGAGGTCGGTGTTGAAGGAGGTGAATAATGGGGGTGAGTTGAGAACGCCGCCGTTGGGTTCGATGAGCGTGCCGAAGCTGAAGTCGGCGACTAGGGATCGGACTGTGGCGGGGGTTTTGGAATCGGTGAGGAGGAGAGAGACTTTCGAGTTCGATGATGAGAATTGATGTGAATGTATGTAGAACATGCTGTATGTATATAGTTGAGGTTACCGGCAGTGGGGGTATTTCATTGATTCCACTTACTCTTGTTGTATCAGTTCTCTGCATTCTGGCTGTAGCATGTGTGTTGGTGGTATGCTAGATGAGAGTGCACCTTAGAAGCATTTTACTCATTGTGCAGTCATTTAATTGTATTTGTTCTGACTTTTACTTAATATAATTTATTAGTAGTTTATTAAATGATAAACTGCTATGATTGAAGAAAGCATGTTCTTTATTGTTTATTTGCAGTGGAAAAAGAATTTGAATCCATTTTTAGCTATGCTTTCATTTGCAAAAAAAAAAAAATGTCCTGGTGACTAAATCAGGTAATAAACATTTGATCTGTTCCTCTTGTTCTAATCGCATTCATTTGTCAGCTTTCTTTTTGTTATGCATGTCCCAAGTGTCTGCTAAAAGATCGGTGAAGAACAACATATAACAACCATTTACACAAAATTTTCAATTTAATCATCATGCTGAGTTCCACCCTTCTGGGTCTTACAAATATGTGAATTTAGACCTTCCTGTGACAATTATCTTCGATATTTTCGATTTTTGGTCACGCTGATGGCACGTAGACTGTAACTGCAAGGTTGAATATCAAAAACCACATGATGAAATTAATTTATAAATTGCAGCAGATCATTTATAAATTAAGGGGTTGAATAACAAAACTTGTAACCCATGACCAATCACACCCAATTTCCCAAACATGATGAAACAAGAAATTGATAAAGCTAAAATGATAAAAGACTATAAGAGAAAAGCCAATGCAACAAAGTTCTTCAATTCCACACTCAGAAAGTCTTTTAACAATCTTTCAGAAAACATTTTTTCCTCGGATTCGGATAAACAAATTTATTACCTCAACCTAAGCATCAGCAAAGAGAACCCACCCAAATCTACTACAAGAGAGTGGGTGCTAGATTGCAAACATGACATTTCACATTTACACGCAACAGAATTTAAGTTCTTTCCTTTTACAGCCCTCGAGAAGGGATGGCAGCGCCGTGCTAATGATGAGGGCTCTGACCACCTCCTTCAGCCTCCTCCTTGGCCTTGCGCGCAGCTGCTCTTATTTGACGTTGCTCTTCTTTATAGATCCTGTTCCTCCGTTGGAACTGCAATGCGATTCACATAAATTGCACAAAATTACTGTGGGAGTTTAACTATAATTCGTAAAAGCATCTATTTGGTGGTAATTAACGTTTACTCTAAAAATCAAGATTGTATTAAGGTTAACAGGTTGACGATATCATAATTTCTTCGAACTAGCATTCTTAATTTTCTTTTAAGCTCTCTATAGCACACTGAGCAATAGGTTTAACCTTGACTATACTAAATCAGGTTACATGCGCATAACTACTTACATTCTTTGTGACTGTAGACAAACGTTTTAAATATCGGTTATTGAAAATATATAAGACGTGCAAAATTCATATTGGATCCTAGATATCAGAATGTACCAGGGATAAGTAGTAAAAATCGGAGTGTTATACTGGATGGTGAGCATATATAATATAATGTCTTAAAATGTAATTTAAGCACATTTAATAAAAAATAAACATACCAATATGCAAATAACACATGTTTAGGATCACTTACCAATTGTTTTTTTAGTGGGTGCGGAATATAAAAGGAGAGCACTGTTTTAGTTTAATATATGCAGGTCAGGTATGGAAAAAAGAGGCTTTTGTTTCCAAACCCAAACCGGGTCACTTAGAATGTAAATTGCAGAAAATTGGGCGATTTTTAGCCCACGAGAAACCGTCCGCTTTATCGTGTTTACACTGATATATCGGAAAAAATCAGCCCAAAATTATATGTGATATAGTTTTGCAAAAATCGTATCCGCCATAGCTCAAACCCTATATATCGGCGATAAATCGATAAAAATGGCCTATTTTTAAAACACTGATTCTAGGCCTAGCAATTTTGCAGAGTTGATCTTGTAAGGTAAACATTTAACATTATTGGGTGGACTCTGGGATCTTCTTCAGAACAACATAACAAGAAATGTAACATAACCTCAAGCAGCAGTGATCCAATGTAAGCATAAAAAGCATTTTCTAAATAGCTGATGGATGTATCAAAATTCAAACTTCAATTTGAAAGACACTGTAAATACACAATAAAGATTTTTGAGGATCTAACTAGATTTATATCAACGTTCTTTCAAAAGACTGCGTGACCAAGTACAAGAGCTCAGCATTTTCACTCCGTAATTTTTTTGTAATTAGTAAGGAATGTAGATTGCTGCTTACTCCTTAGAGGCTAAAGTTGCAAGGGAACTAACAGTTTGGAACAGTTTGGAGAGATATTGCAACCCTGTTTTCTTCAAAATCTGGAACATATCTATCAACAAGAATCAGACATTATAAGTAAAGGTCCTTTATACTTTTGAAAAAAAGGTAGTACCGAAGACTGGAGTTTCTGGACATAGAATTGGGTATCGAGGTGTCACGGCTAAAAATAAAATCACAAAAATATCAAATCAAATCACATATCTATCACAAAAAATATCGATCAAGATCCTCACCATATGATATCGTTGCATGTTTGAATTTAACAACAGAACACTCGATCTTGAACAACTGATGACAAATTCAAATGTGCTTTAACAAATTTAACAAGAAAATCTGATGGATCAAGATTAATGAAAGCTTCAAGTGCTTTATTTTACTAAATCAGACTAAAACCATATCAGATGGTATCATGATTAGGAAGAGGAGGGTCTGCCGCTTGACGAGGAGGATCCAATGCTTGCTGAGAGGAGGATGTGGTTCTGGTTGTGGACGAGGTAGCTCCCTCTGAGAATCCGGCTTCAGCTAAAGAGGAGGTTATGCTGCTCTCAAGGAAGAGGATCTTGCTTTTGAAAAGGAAGAGACTGAGGAGTTTGTTGAAGATGTGGATAAAGAGATAAAGTGACTTGGACCGGATAACATTATCTACTTCTCTGTTAATTTTAACAATTAACTTCCTTCAATGATGTGATCTGATATAGTTTTGGTCTGATTTAATACAAAAAAGCACTTGAATCTGTCACTAATCTTGATCAATTAGGTTTTCTTGTTAAATTTGTTGAAGCTCATTTGAATTTGTCATCGATTAATCAAGATCGAGTGTTTTGTAATTCAAACATACAATGATATCGTAATGTGAGGATCTTGATCAATATTTTTGTAATGGATACGTGATTTGATTTGATGCTTTTGTGAGGACTCTGATTAAGGGTATAGCGTAAGAAAGAAATGGCACATATCATGCAATTATTTTGTCATGCGATGCTATTTGTCTCTTTGCTTGTATCATGCCCTAGTGTTATTGCCATCAAATAGCAATTCCGACCTTTTAGTTTAGACTTTTTCTGGCTCAGGCTCTTGTCTAAGGTTACTCCATTCCTGTTTGAACTCAAACCGCTTAGCTAGAAAAGGGAAATGTAGCTGCTCAACTTCAATCTCTTAAGGCAAGGTCCTTATTTGTTATGCGCTGCTATTTGTCTCTTTGCTTATATCATGCCCTAGTGTTATTGCTATCGATGAGAAGCAATTCTGACCTTTTAGCTAAGACTTTTTCCTGGTTCAGGCTATCGTCTAAGGTTACTTCATTCCTGTGTGAACTTTTTCCTAATTCAGACTACTATCTAAGGCTACGCTATTCTTGCATGATCTCAAACTGCTTAGCTAGAATAAAGAATTTAGCTCCCAACTTCAATCTCTAAGGCAAGGGCCTTATTTAAGGTTAATGTTAGATACAAAACTGATCCTCAAATCCAGGATAGTCTTTGTGCGGTTTCTTTAGCTGAGTCTAGCTCCACGCTACTGCATACTTTAGACTGTAAGAAGTCTGGATGCTAACAAGAAGAAGATACCTACGAACCTTTAAATTGATGGATTTATACTAGAAAAAGTGGACAAAGAAGTTTAAATCAACAACAATAGACATGGCAGTTGGCAATGGTGTATGGTTATCACTTCTTTTTTTTTGCCTCTCTTTGTCTAGTGTGTGTGTGCGTGAGTGTGTCTGTCTATGTGTGTGCATGTGTTTGCGCAAACACTTTTCTTTTCCCCTTCTTTTCTTTCCAGTGAGTGTGTGTCACGCTTGGCCTACACATAGATGAACAATGTAAAGAAGTACACCAGAGACAAATGAAATAGAGTTGAAATTCATGCAAACCAAGTTGCGGGTCTTACGAGTCTAGGGATAAGCAAAGAGATGAATAATTCCTTGGTACAGTAGGGATTCTTTACGTAAAACAGTCAACTAGAAAACGAAGGGGCGAGCAAACACCGAACAACAGCACTTCGGTCATTCCTCGCTGCGTAAAAGGAATATTCACTTGCCAAAGGAGGCACACTACTTTCGACATAAGCCGTGTAGATACAGCCATGAGCAAAATGAAGCTATATAGAAAGCATGTCGGAACACAATCTCAGGAATGCAATGATAATCTCGAACTCTTTGATAAGACCGAGACACACTCCAGGTCAAGGAGCCTATGCATTGAATACCCTAACACACAATCGACGATTTTTCCAAACTTGGACTCCCTCCAAACACTTCGAACCCTAATTAAACAACACTTTGTCCAGCTCCGAACCTGCTCAACTAAATCCAGACCAAGCTTCGAAATTTGACCCTTTTCCTGACAAAAAAAAAAAACCCGACGAGGCCTAACGTTTTCAATCAAGATTCCCGGTCCGAAATCTGACATCCCTGAAGCAGTTCAGCTCAGCGGGACTGCTCCTGCTCAGATCAACAACTCGAAGCTCCGTCGGGGCCTAGGGTTACAAAAACCTAGGGTTTTCCTCCCGCGACGGATCGACCGAGCGTCGGATCTTACCTAGGGTTAGGGTTAGGGTTTAGGGGGGTTTACCTCTTTGGAGTGGTGGAGGCACTCGAGGTAGTCCTCTCTGAGGAGGGAGCAGTCCTTGGGCTCCCTGCACTTGGACATGCACTCGCTGAAGTCGGTCCAGAAATCGTAGCATCGCCCTTTGTTCCCCGTTATCCCCCAACCCGACGCCATTGATCTCCTCGCTCTCTCTCTCTCTCTCTCTCTCAAGATTTTGCTCGTGACGACGGTGAGGGGATCTGGTGCCGGCTGTAGCGGGTCGGGTCCAATGGGTTGAGATGGATCCGATAGTTTAACCCGATCACCCGTAGCTATTTACCCACATTCGGTCAACGGAAACCCCGAAAGGCTAATTGTCACTTAAAACCTTGTAGTTTAACCTAGTTCGCAGTAAAATACCCGCGCCCGTTTTTTTTTATTGGACTCGCCTCCTGTACGCAAGCGTGAAAAATATTTCTCCGGAAATTCTCGCGTGTCATTTTGCCTGCTAATTTGCAGATGTTTTAAGCATTTGTTTTTTTTTTGTTAAAATTATGGCTAAATTATATCTGAATTCCATTTTAAAATAAAATCATATTGGGTTTAAGACTAAAGTAACAAATTTTAAGTGTGTTGTAACCTGAGAATTACCAAGTCTAATTAACTCGTGAGAGTCTACCATGTGTCAAGATTTGCTTACCAAGTCCTATAAATCTGAAAGCCCGAGCATCGCCGACCTCTCTGGCAGCCCAAGACCGATATGAAAAGCTTCTTCAAGCTGGGTTCCGCTAAAAGAATCCAAGTCCGAGACGAAAAACATCTTCTACTCAGGACCTCGGGCTCTCGCTAAGGAATGTGTCGAACGACGAGGCGGCCTGTCAGCTTCAGCAGTCATGCTCCACCGGCCAATCATCATCGCTTTTGATGCTTGGCTAGAGTCATTATGACTCTTCAGACCAAAGTTATGACTCCTCTGATGATGCCAACACTTCTGTCATTTTGTCACCATCGCATTAAATGGAAAGTGTGACTCATTTAGCTGATCGTCGATACGTGTAAAAGTGCAGTTTGATCAACGGACTGCATCGACCTGGTCAATTTACCAGCGCACCCTCGCCGGTTATCTATAAACAGTAGGGAATCTACAACTCTAAGGTACACAAAAATTGCTATATAACACCCTGAAACTAGATCATGTGTCTTTCAAACTTGCTTAACCTATTACTGACTTGAATGTCAAAGGGCAAATCGGAGCAACCAACTCTGGCCCTCTAACGGGTGTTGTAGAAATCTTCTTGTTGTTGATTGGTTAGCTATCAAGGAAGATCAAGAAACCCTAAAAACTCTTCTAAATATCCACGCACCAATTATCTTTTTGACATAAACGAAGTGTTGATTTTTTTTTAAATGGCATTTGAGTGTCAACATGAGAATTTTCAGGGAGAATAGTTATTAGCTTGTATAATAGAAGATACTAGTGTGCACTCGTGCAAGCACGACCTCCATTTTTTTATTTTTGCTATAGTAATTCTGTATTTAAATACAGTTTTTTTGTAAGTACTACAATAATATTTTTTAAATGCTACAGTATCCCGCCTGAACTACAGTAATATTCGGAATTCTGTACTTAAAACAATTTTCTAACTGCTACAGTGCCATTTTTTTAAAATGCTACGGTTCCCACCTGTGCTACAAATAGTAATACTACAATGCTTTATTGTAGCATGAATATTGAATCTTAGATCCTCCTGCATTTGCTACAGTGACAAATGATATAGTAATTTAATGTGTCATTTACTATAGCATGAATAGTGAATCTTGGAGCCTCCCATTATTATAGAGGAATAGATTATAGGTAAAAATTTACATACTTCAGGGATACAACTATTTAAGTGCTTCAAAACACATGTGAGGTTCTAGACTGCTACCTGGGGAAAGTATAAGGTATTTAAATGCTAATTAGCCAAGCTAAAGTGGCACGGGTTCTCGAGGCCCACGGGAAACCCAAAACCGCTTGCGCTTCCGCTTCCTGTTGCCAACGCATCTCTCCCTCTGTCTCTCGTACTAAACACGCTACAGCTCAGCAAGCAACAACAACTGAACATGTCATCCCCAGTAGTCCTCAGCGTCAACGTGTCAGTTTCTTATTGGTTGGTTTACCTGTTCTCACATGACTAACCCCCAATTTGTTAATCATACCCTTTTTTTTTGTTGACTGACAATGACAGAAAATATAATACACGTATAAATACAAGTCCCCTCTTTTTGCTTCTTTTACCATTTCATTCACCCCATAGATTCCTTCAAAGAGGAATAATAAAAAAATAATAAAAAAATAATAAAAAAATAATAAAAAAATAAAAAAACTTGCAAGCTCTAAAATGGCGGAGGAACCGAGCAAGATCGAATCGATCAGGAAATGGGTCGTGCAGCACAAGCTCCGAACCGTCGGTAAATTTCTAATTTTTCCTTTTTTTTGGGGGGAATTTTTCTTTAATTTTTTTGGGGGTTAGAATTGGTTTTTTTTAGATTCTGATGATTTATTCCTGATTTCTTTTAATGAAGCTTGCCTTTGGCTGAGTGGAATTGGGGGCTCGGTGGCTTACAATTGGTCGAGGCCCAACATGAAACCTAGCGTTAAGATCATTCATGCAAGGTTCGATTTTTAATCGATTTCGTTTTCTCGTGTAGTACAATGCAGTGGTTAGATTGATGTTAATGACAAATTTCTGACATTTTTTGGTAGAAAAGTTCGGTTTTTTAAGGGCTAGGATTTTGTAGTAGAAAGTAGAACAATTTTTCAAAACCGACCGAAATTTTTTTTTTTTCAAAATCGACCGTTTTTTTTATTTATCAAAATCGATTCGGTTTTGTGATTAGCAGGTTAATCACTATCCTAAATAGTCGGGTTGCCAACCCCGACTATTTAGGAGGGTGTTAAACCCTAATTAAAGGGTGATTAGCAGGTTAATCACTATCCTAAATATTCGGGGTTGCCAACCCGACTATTTAGGATAGTGATTAACCTGCTAATCACAAAACCGGGTCGATTTTGATAAATAAAAAAAACAGTCGATTTTGAAAAAAAAAATCAGCCGGTTTCGAAAAAAATTGTTCTAGAAAGTATTATTGTTTTCTGTTGGCTGAGGTTTTTTTTTGCTTGTTTGGGGTCACAGTATTAATAGAAAATGTTTCTCATTTTTAGATTTCTCCCGTTTTGTTACTTTAATCTCTTTCATTATGGCAATGGATGCATGATTCTACTGGTAAATAGTGGATTTGGAATCTAATTTATTAGTGTTTTACATGCACTAAAGCATAACATATGGAGATCAGATAGGATTAACCACCATGTCGAATACCTTTTGACCTTTCAAGTGTGATAGCTCTCTCGTACAACAAGTGATAAGCATAGGTCTTTGAGTCTTTCTGTGATATGTCATATTAGCCAATATCGGTTACATTAGTCATTATTAGCCAATATTGCTATTTCCAACTGGATCGCGAGCATAAACATATGTTACTTGTCAATATTGATGATGCTTCAAGATAGGGTTATAGTAAATTACAATGCTAGATATGATTTATAATTAGAGGGGTAATTAAATTAGCTGTGAGAGTTTTAATATTTGGCCTGTGAACTCATCCATATTTATGACCGAGAACTCTCTGGAGAGAACTTTAGTCATTTGGGATGATTATTCATCAGCATGTGAAATGGAGAATATATTGTTCAATGTTCACAGAATAAAAGCAAAATGGTTAAGTTGATTACTATTTCTTGAGTATTATGTGGTGATATGAGTTTTATAAAGGGATGGATGGTTCTATTAGATGGCTATATAAATAGTTGTGCTTTGCAGATCAAAATATAGTTAAAGTTTAGATATCAGAGCCTGCAGATTGCTGACTTGAAGAGAACACTGCAAAAGAGGACAAAGTTTTTGTTTTTGTTTTGTTTGTTTTGGGTGGCGGGGGGGTAGGGGGGATAATTTGAGGATTTTTAGGCTTTCAATGAAGTCTAATCAGTGCAGGATTAACTAGTGTAATAATATAGTCTAGGAAGGGCTTACTTTTCATGTGTCCAGTGATCACCAGCTTCATTCTTCTATTTAATCTGTTTAGGATTTAGTTCAGTTGGTTCCATGAGCAGTCAGTGATCAAACGGATAAATGATTTGCATTTTCTTGCACAAAATTGATTTGGAAACCCGAACTCTTTTCTGATTCTGAGATATCCATCTTTGTGAAACGGGGATCTTGAGTACCAGCATTTGCTGCACTTAATGGCTGATGACAAGAGCAACTTGCTGTGTAGTGAGTGTTGAAAATTTCATGTGCTTCTGCAGCTGGATAAGATTGAAATGAATCGATGACTGTGTATCATCCTTCGGTGAATATAAAATTGAATATATGGGTAATGGATGTATATAACTAATTTTCACCCTGTTGTGCTCAATTGCCACATGATTTTCATTTTTCGTAAAGACAAAAGAAAATCATTGTTAATGTAGTAATGCGAGCATTCACTGTAGAGGATTAGTCAGGCAGGAATGACAAGCTTCTTGATGGTGGCTTATGTCTCTGTTACTGAAGGCTATGTTTCACAGGACTTCTTCACGATTTGACATGCAAGTGCAAACAAATTACGAACTAGAAACTTAAACCAGCTATTTCCTTATTGGAGGAGTAAATATTTATTAATCATGATTCCTCAAATATGTTGACTCTTGACCGGAGGTTATTTTGAGGAATGATTCTCAATCATGAGTGCAGAATGGCTGAAGAAATGATCATATGGTTACAGTTATCCGGCTGTTGCTGTTTATCTTTGCTGATCCGCCAAACTTGAATTTTACCAGACTGTAGACAGGTGAAAAGTTTTCAGTTTAGTGGTGGTGTGGCTTCTTGTTACACAAGGATTTTGGCATCCTATATTGAATGTGTGAATCTTGTGAGGGTATGCATCTTTGAAAAGGAACATAAACATCTGTTTCGTTATGATTATTTAATGCCAACGATGTTCTACTTTTCACGCTGTATATTCTAATTGGAGTTTGGCATGTCCAAGCATTTATCTCGCCTATGGGCTCAACTCTGAAATGATAGGTGTTCTGGCCAGTTTACTTTTCCAACATATTGCTAGTTACCATCAATATTATGATGCTATAAGATCATTAGTTATCTTTATGAATGTTGTGAGTCAATTTAACCAAATTTCGGCTAAAATTTTCTCATTGAAGTTGGCATCAAGTCTACTTGCCACAAACCAACTATATTGCTTGGTCTATAGTTTTCTTGACCTCGATTCTGTAAATTTGGTTACGAGCTTGTATCTGAGGTATTTCAATAATGCTCATTATATGCATACACATTCTTGATAATTTTGATTTTGCAGGTTGCATGCTCAGGCTCTCACCCTTGCTGCCTTAGTGGGAGCAGCAGCAGTTGAATACATCGACCATCGATCTAGTTCTGGAACCAATACTAGCAAATACCCAAAGCAACTTTTGCACCATCAGCACGAGGACTAAAGATCTTTTAGCAACTGCTTGTCTGCTTTGATTCCATCATTTCATTTGTTTTGAGATGGTTATACTGCGATCAACCGGTAAAATGATGAGTTATGGGCTGGTAGAGGATACTTTCGCAATTATGTGAAGCTCCTTTTTGTGCAAGCGGTGCTCAAGAGTTTGTGATGTATTAATAATAATGTTTGCTTTGAATCATTGTATTTCAGAGAGTTTTACAGGACATGTTTTCACTGTTGATACTGTTATCACGATTGAAAAATCATATTGCGCACATTGCGGCAGGGCCATTGTGTAGGTTTTGCAAAAGTTGTATGAGAAGCAATTTGTATTAAGCCCTACTCCGAAAGGACAGTCTATAAGAAAAATCAACGGTAAGCATCCGCAGACTGAAGAAATGTACTGAGACCAGTAAAAAAATTATTCGCAATCGATTCTTAACACAAGTTAGCAATACTTGAGCTGTGCAGAATGATTGTCTTATGGTAGAATAATTCTATCATGCATCACTGCATGAACGTAAATACCATTCCAAAATTGAACGTATAAGGCACACAATTGAGAATCAAACCTTCACAGTAAACTCTTCATAAACATTAATAAGGATTCGCAGCAGCGACAAAATCATCTTCATCAAGCTTTTATTAACACGAAGGAAAGGTTGAAAGGGCCCTTGGAAGAGGTATCATGTTCATGTTACATTTCCTCGAATCCTTCTTCATCGGCTTCTTCTTCTAGCCTCCCAAAATGTCCTCTCCACGCGTCCATCTATCAAGGGGGAAAAGGGCTTAATATGTAATTGTATCGTTCGTTCAATGGCCATGAACTTAATTTCTCTTTCAAGAAAACAAATTAAACAGCTGCGTGAAATAACTTAGCTTCAAATATCGAGTTTTGTCACCTGGGAATCAGATAATCGCAACTGCCTTGCCATGTAAAATATGCCGTTGTAATCTCCTGGTGGTAGATCCAAGTGCAAGTTTCTTGCAATCACATCATGCTCAACCACATCAACTTGAAAGCCATGGCTCATAAAAAGCTTCTCCAGTGTTTCACGTTGTGTGTCCTGCCCAAGGACAAACAAATGTTAGGCAGAGGGAGGTAGCAACTAGCAAGGGAGGGGGCAAATCCCTATAGAGGACCCCCTATAGAAAATCACAAAGAGATAGGGGACGAAGACACCAAGTCTAGTACGAATCTTGATGCATGAACTATTATCAATCTCCGATGCAGCGATTATTTTCCATGGGTGCAGTTGCTATCAATATAGTGCTGACTATGAGGGAGCGGAGACTACATGATAGCGGATAGTAATGTGTGCATCAAGATTCATGATTGGCTAGGTGTCTTTTTATCACCCGTCTCCCTATATCGTCTCCCTATATGATTGTCTATAGAGGGCCCTCTACAGGACTTTTTTTAAGGACTGTAGTAAACTGACCATTTTCCGCATTTCGGCTCCTAGCAAGAAGCCAGGCAATTCTCCCATAAAAGTACATCCTTCCATTGCTAAGCTGCTGACAGTAGCTAGTACATTCTCAAAGCCTGCCAATGTCATCAATGGCAGCCCCTGCAAGGAGGTTGCAGTTACAACTTAGTCTCATAATCGTCCTGACTGACATCAACTGAGAGTTGATGTACAAAAGAATAGGATCATGATTCATGATCATCCAAGTTTTCCGAAATGAGGTTTGTCTATGTAGCATGACTCAGAAGACAAGAAAGCACCATAAGCTAGCTGCTATGGTTTCTCTAGAGCTATAAATCTTTCAACCCTGTATAATTTGCTACCTGATTTTTACGCAAGACAACTATTAGCAACTGGAGCCTTGAGGTCTCTGCCTTGAAACCATGACAAACCGTTGGCAGGCTAGATTGAGATGCAGTTTAGGCTGATGAAACCAATGAACAATCCTCCAAATCCATAGAATGAAGGAGTTTATATAAAGTGGTAGGAATGTGTGTTTCCTTATTGGATAAATGAGTGAGAGGAAATATGACACCGAACTGTTTAGATAACAAGAAAGTCATTAAAAATAAGCATACACAAGAAGCATACTTCACTTGAAATCTGTCTTCAGATTATCAAAGACAGACATGATTACATGGTTTCTTTCTCCTAAAATTATCCTAAGCAAAATGAGCATATACCCAAAATTGATAATATCCAAATCTACTGAAATTGTTACCACAGCTACTGAACATTATGAAGGCATAGCATCAAAATTAGTTTTAACCAAACAAATACAAGGGTTTCTCTATAAATAACTTTAGCATAAGAAAATGCAGTCTGCACATCACCTGAAGTACCCACAAGCTTGCCCTGTTACCACTAAAACCTTTCTTGTTCAAAGCTTCCTGTATATCAGAGGACTCAAGAGGCACATGAAGCAACACACAGCCTTTCGAAATTTTTGCCCCAACACCTGTAACAGAAATATGCATATCAAGCATCCAAAAGTTTTGGATAAAGGCTGCATTATTTTTGCATGTATATCAAGTACAAATATGCTGTTAACAAGGACATGTTACCAATTTATTTGGTAAAAAGCATATACCTACAAGCCTTTGAGATGCTTCTTTGAAAATTCTTCCAGGAGATATGTCATATATAACCGATGAGCGAGGCCAACTCAGCCTATATGGACGGGTGTCCATACCATCTGTCAATAAAACAATCTATAGGATATAAGAGCACATTTTGACGAATATTTTATCTTCATATGAACAAAAGTACCTGCTTAAGCTCATCAGAGCTGGTGATCAGGCTCAACAACTTATCATCGATGAACTTTGTCGTCAAACTGTAGTAGCATGGTGATGATGCACATGTTGTAATAGGGTACTGTTCTTTAATTTCCTTTTGACTTGAAATAGAGGAAAGAAAGCATCCAGCATATGGGTCAATGAAAAGGGGATCTGAAATATTCAATACATGTTAACACCAGATTTCAAAATAAAACAAATTTATCAGCTAAAATCTTTAGGACCCTACCCGATTATAGATGATAAAACATAACCAAAAGATGGTAATGAGATAAATAGCAAGTGTATGCAGAATAGAGAACATTATGAGAGAAATGTAGCACTCAGAAAACATACGAAAAGGCAGATTGAACAACTCTGTCTCTGGGTTGAAGTTAAAAAGGAAAATGAACTTTATATATATCGCTGAATGTGGAGTATTTGATTTAATCTGGAAGAAAAGATAAATGACAATTACATAAAGGGTAAATTACAACCATCCCTTAAGGTTTGCATGATCGACAACAAATCAACCTAAGTTTTTAAAAGTGACTTAACCCCCTCTCTCAATTTCTTCAGAACTAACTTGATGTAAAAGCTAATATCATATGATACGACAATTATATGCACTCCCATACAAACACATATATCATTATCGCATTGAAAATTGATAAATTGCATCCAAAAGTTGATGATTATTCGAATAGAAACCGCAGACGAGGACCCAATAGACAATTACATAAATTAGCACTGTGAGACTAAACCAACTGATACACTGGTTCATTTATCACAAAGAGAGGACACGAAACATTGATCACAAACTAAAACAATTACATAAGCGCATTTATATTGACAAAATACTTCTCTTCCCCTTTTACATTTATAAAGTCTTCTCTCAAGCATTTTGTCAAACATGTTTCTTGGTTTCATTGTCTCATCAAACCATACAAATTTCCAGCAATTCCCCAAATGGGTTGTGGATATTAAGCATATTCATCGATCAAAAAACTCAAATCAAGTAAAAAATTTTTTTTTTTGAGAGAATCGTAGAACCTGAGCGAAGAGACTCATGGAAACGAATCGAAGCAGCGCTGACAGCAGCTTTGAGAGTCGTGTCGTCGTGATCTCCGCTGCGAAAACTTGCGAAGATTTTGATCCTCGAACTCTTTGATGTCTTCCCGTTTTTAGTGGAGTAGAAGAATCGTGATGTTGGTGAGTGGAGAACAGAGGCCATTGATTTTCTTGTCCTTTTGAGATTTTTTATTTTCTCCCCCAACAAATACAACGAATTTTTAGTAAATTTAGCGAACAGATCCATGGATTTTTTATTTTTAGTAAATACGAAATCCACCCTTTGACTTTGGAAATAGTTTTTACCTAATAACCCCTTGCATTTTAGTTTTTCGCTTTTCGTGGTGTAAAACATACATGTAAATTTAAGAAGTCTTGCACAAGTAACAATTCTACATAGTTAATATGGAAGATTTCTTACTTAATTCTCTTTTATATTGCAATAAATATATAACTTAGATTACACGCAAAAATGTGATTGATTGGTATTGTTTGAAAATCTTAAAAATCAAATTAACATCTCCATCTCACACATTCAACCATGCCATGTATAGTTAAAAAAAATGATTACCAAGTAAATCTTATGATGTTGGTATCATTGAAAAAGGAAAGCTTCCTAATCAAGAATAGATATATGCCTTTATATATTTCTATCAAAACATATATTCATCTTAATTTATATATATAAAAGCATATAGTGCATATAGCATAAGTTTTGTTGGTGGTGTTACATCATTCTCTATATAGATTGACGCATTCAACCATGTCACGTATAGGGGGAAAATGATTACCAAATAAATCTTATGATGTTATTATCATTGAGAAGGAAAGCTTTCTAATCAAGAATAAATATGCCTTTATCTTTATATATATATAAAAGCATATAGTATACGTACGTTGGTGTTACATCATTCTCTATATAGATTTGTGTGTTGGCGTTATATTAACCATACACATAGCTTTACTTGTAAATTCCCAAGTGCTAAAAGAGAGACATGTATCAAAGCGTGACATATCTCTTGTTTGAGCCATACAAAATTAATCAAAAAGGAGGGACAAAATCATCCATCAACTAGTCAAGCCCTATACGTAGACATAACAAACTCAATTAATGGAGTTATTAACTTATAAAACAAGTGCATTAATCCGTACTAATTAAAGATATTGTTTGCAAGCTATCTCTATATCAATGTATGACTATACGGTTAAAAAAACAGACTCTCAATTTGATCTCAGCTTGTAAATAATATTGCTAATTAACAATATTTTTATGGGAGAGGTTGAGTAGATTAGTTATCGAACTTCCTAACTCAAGCATAAGTAAGTTTGAGTGGAAAGAAAAATGGAAGTGGAAAAAGTTTAAAAAGAAAAAAGAAAAGAAAAAGAACACTTACATGTTCATGGCGTATATATACACATGCATGCATGCCTCCAGAGGAGAGGAGGCCATGGTGGAGAAACAGTGCACGTGCAGCCCTTCGAGTCGACTTACAGAGGGTGTCGTCTCGTCTGGTCGGTTGCAATTCCTTGATATAGTACCATTAATGCTATGAACCGGAACCGTTAGATACTTTCTCGAGAAACGCAAAAAAACTGCACGTGTCCTGCTTCTCCAACAAAGGCAACCTCACCTTGCCACTTGATCACAGAATATTCGCACAACCCCCAGTGAGAGGATCCAGCAGGGCTTAGTGAAATGGAGCTTTATAAGAGAAAAACTAAGATGAAGAGTGAGAGAAAGAGAGTTGCTTTGCTTTGAAGGGAAGTATAGCTTGCTCTCCTCAGGCTTCATTCAATTTCTTTTGGGGAAGAAGGGCCGAGGTTTTTTTTTTTGGCCAATGTCATTAGAATCACAGCTGGGACCCTTTAAACCCTTTGCTTGACACAAGAGGAAAAGGGATTCATAGGAGGACAGGGTTGTGATCTATAATATTTTTACGTTAATATTTTTACGTGTACACTCCTCCTTTATTTGTCTATTTCTCAGTCTTTTCAACTGGTCTTTTTTAATGGTCTATGAGCTCAACTATGATGTGTTGGTTTTCTAGTTGCTACTATAAATGGAGCAGCAAGGGAGTTGGTTGGCTGTGACAATCTTATTCAACAGTGAAAGAAGAGAAAAAATATTTAAAAAAAAATGTCCTGAGAAATACTTCGTTAATATTGAAAATGAAACAAGGCTTATGTGTTAGAAACATATCAAATAATTAAGATTATAGCATGAAATAAATCTGAAATCACAATAAATGAGAGATAAGAAAAATTAGGCTTGACGGGAGCAGTCGTGTATTCACTGCCTTAGAAGATTGAGAACCCGCCTATCGCCCTGGCGCAGATGGTTCCCTCCCCCTAGCAGTAAAAGCCCCCGAAAACAGCCGACCTCTGCACTCGGGCGAGAATGCAGAGCTTCAGCTCAGATGAAGGAAGTTGCCCATAAAATAAAATTAAGATGTAGATGAAAATAATATGTATGGGAGAAGAAAAACAAGAGAAACTTGTTGTATATTTTTCTTCTTATTTTGAGCTCACATACAGATATATATATATATATATATAGGGTTGGAAAAGACGTTACAAAACCCGTAATTAATTCCGTAACGTTTGTCATAATGTATAGCCATTATGCTCATTTTAAATTCTAATTAAAGCATATTTTAATTACAAAATTTATTAGTATTCATTAAGGCAAAATTGGCTTTTCTCCAACAAAATATCCAGCAGTCCCCCCAAAAAGGCAATACTGACTGAAAACTCAAAATCAATAAATAAATCAATAAATCACAAAAAAAAAGGTTGGGCAACCTTACGTATCGTGAATTCGGGAGAGGCAGCTTTCGGCTTTGAACCTTTCCTTAGTGAGTTCATCGCCACCTGAGGGACATAATGGACTAAGCCTTGAATTAGGCCCCTTGAATCAGGTTTGATAAAAACACAGACAATACGTCTTCATCTATTGAGCAAAGTGGGTTGAGCGTTAAAGGTCATGCTCGTAATAAACCGACTCATGAGAGTTTCTAGGGGTCAGCCCTGCCCCCCCTCCCCCCAACCGCGGCCATCACGGTTCCTCTCATGTAGGTAAGTCCTCAAAGGGTACTACAATCGTTTATTTAATACCCCACAATTAGGTCTGTCCATCCGGGCCGGCCCTGCCCGGAAATCCGGGCCCAGACCGGGCAAAACCGGAGCCCGGACCAGGGTACCCCGGGCCGGGTCAGGGCCCGGGCCCGACCGGGCCGGGTTCCGGGCTGGCCCAGATTTTTTCCAATTTTTTTTATTTTTTTATCAAATTTTTTAATTTTTATTTAAATTTTAAATTATAAAAAAAAGACAAGAAAAATTAATAAAAAACAATAATTTTATTAATCACTTAAAATGACATAAATTACAAATAAAAAATAATAAAAACAAAGTCTTTATTAATAATTAATAAATTATTTACAAATTACAAGTATAAATTTATTTTGGAATTCATCGCATCACAATAGATAAGTACATCCCAACTAGGTTGGCACCTACTCACCTATATCACTATCATTTGCAATTATTTCCAAAATAATTATTTATAAATTTTAAGCTAAGATATAAAAGTTACAATTTGATTAATATTATTTATTTTTTATATCTATCTGCTAGTCCAAATTCTTCAAATTTATCTTCAATTCCAGCCATCCGATCGATGCATTGCGGTCGCTTCTCGTACCTCCACCAATCTTGTAAGCACATCACCGCTTGTACAGTATACGAATCTAAGCATGTTCTGTGGTCGTCGATCAAACGTCCTGCTGTGCTGAAGGCGGATTCCGAAGCTACCGTCGAAACCTGCACTGTTAGTAAGTCACGAACCATGGTGGAAAGTATAGGATATGAAACTGATCCATATACTTTCCACCATTGCAAAATATCTAAAGCATTTCCTTGACATTTAACTAAAGAAGCAGATAAATATTCATCTATTTCAGAAACCTCCAATGATGACGATCCAAGTCCAGATTCACCAGTTAGCTCAACTACTATTGCATACCTATTAAAACTTACACTTTTACCTCGGGATGAGCTCGAAGAAACCGAAGCTGTAGACTGTTGTGCAGCTACACCATGTCTAGCTGCATACTCATTATATAATGTTTGAAAATAATTTCTAATAGATAAATGATGAGAAGTAGCAATAAGGGTGGAACCATCATCTAAGTCTATAACCTGTCCACCATACAATGACTGTAACAAACTTCGAAGGCCAATATCCTTCAAGCATTGATCAATAAGAACCCTTAAACAAAAAATATGAGGAATAAGCCTAAAGTACTTATTAAATTTGCTCTCTATTTAAAAAATCATAGGTCCAAAAGTATCATTCATACTATATTTCCCAAATTTTTTTTGAATATTTAAAATTTGTAAAGCAGCTAAAGTAATGGTTGGATAATAACAGTCAGATAATAACATTGTAACATCATAAAAAACTTGTAACATTTTATTTAAATTACATATAATTGTCCATTCATCTTCAGTTATTCCATAAGTGCTACCAGAACTAGAGCTAGAAGCATAATAGTTTATAAAATCAGTTATAATGTCTTTATATTTTATTGCTACACTTAACATTGCATAGGTGGAATTCCACTTATGGTCAACATCTTTTGGAATTAGTCTGGGCTTTACATTTTTTCTTTTACAAAATTATTTTCATCTTTTAAGTCTTTGTTCAGAAGCATTATGCATATAAGCAACTATTCTAACCTTTTCTATCATGGGTTTAATTTCAGTAAATGCACTTTGAACAATTAAATTTAAAATATGACAGATACACCTAATATGAAAAAGATTATCATGACATGGCAATGATAAAGTTGATCTGATAAAATCAACAGCTACATTTGTTATTACTTGCATTATCTAGTGAAAGAGAAAATATTCTTTCTGAAATTTCTAATTTCATAAGTTCTTCAATTATTAAATTTGCAACATTAATACCAATATGTGACTCTTCTATTGTAATAAAAGAAACAACTCTTTTAAACATTTGCCAATTTTCATCAATCCAGTGTGCTGTGATACATAAATATCCAATTTGTGCTCTAGATGTCCAAATATCAGAAGTTAAAAAAAATTTACAGTTTAAATTTTTAAAATAAGAAATTATTTTTCCTTGTTCCTCCTGATATATTTTAAAATATCACGTTGACAGGTTTGACGAGAAAATTTTTTAAATGCAGGATAAAAACCATCTCTAAACATATCTTCAAATTCATCATCTTCTACTAATTTAAAAGGAAGGTTTTTAAGAATGATAAACCTGATTACGCATTTCCTGGCTCTGGCAGCGTCATAGTTCCAACTACCGAGATTACCAGAAGAGAAGGATTGAGAAATCATAGATTGTCGGATATCACCTTGAGGAGTTTGGTCTTTATTGTGTTTATCTAAATGGCGTTTGAGGTGGTTGGTGCCGCTCTTATGATGAGCTTGAAAAATCTTACCGCA